TACGGTTACTGCAGCTTATATTTGGTTAGGGAAGTTGGAAACTTTTTCTTCAAATTACCATTAACTTTCAAGATAAGATAGAAAATGCATCGAAAAGATGGGTGAAAAGAAAGGTACTTATATAAGAATTAGCAATTCTAGACATACTAGGGATTTTCTTCCACATTGGTTCAATGCTTATGCATGGCTTGATGTTTTCTTCAAATGAACATTAACTTTCAAGATAAGATAAAAAATGTATCGGAAAAAATGGGTCAAAAGAAAGGTACTTCCAGAAGAAACAGCGATTCTAGACATACTAGGGATTTTGTTCACATTGGTTGTAGGCTTGCATAGCTTGAGAGTTGTAGTTGTTGGGAATACAGGGTCAAGCACTTTGGGGATGCTTGCAAGTGAGTATCTTTTGGTATTTCTTGAGTTTGTAGTTTGCTGTAATCACTCCATTTGCTATTACAAATTTAGACATCTTAATAAGGTATAAGTTTCCTGGACTTCAGCTTTGCTGATATCACAGATTTGCAGCATGTTCCAGTTTTCCTTGTTGTTGAGTGTTTGTTTTGCTCAATTTCAACACTTCTGTCACGTTTGGCCTAAATTTGGAAGATTTTTTTGGGATTGCAAATGAGCTTGCAAGTCCACGTATATGTAATTACGTGAAGCTCACAGAAAAGATCTAGTTTCTTCCCACTGGTCTCAACATTTATTTTCCTCTTTGTTATATGTTTGTATTGCATGGTATATCTTCCTTTTTGTATGAGGCAATATTCATCAGATTTATCGGTTGTTTTGTTTGCATCTTACGTTGCTTTATGTCACGTATGCAGAGGCTGAGCTCTAAGATCAACTATGATGTGCTAGAGAAGCTTTTTGATGAGTCTGTATGTGCTTCTCCCTATCCAAAATTTCTTGAGAATTCCATTATACCTTCTGTTACTTTTAATTTTTACTCGGATGTCAATTCCTTTGGCAGACTACTGTTTTCTTCATTCAGAATCTTCAGTTTTGACCTTAATTAAAAAATATAAACAGAATCTTTGGTGTTTGGGTTGGATGGAGATAGCTGGTGTTTGAGACACAATTATGCATAATATTGGATATTTAAGAAACAGTAACGAAAAATAAATTGTGCTGCATCAAAAAATTGTAGAAATCTCACCCCAAGGCTTTGTTTTGGTGATAAGAGCGCAGCTTGTGGTGTGTGGGTTAGACGCACATCACGGGTTCAAATCCTACCGCAGGCAGAAGCTCGGTATTTAAGTGGAGAAGGTTAAAGGAGTAGGCCCACTATCGAACCTTGTGCCAGTAGCCTTTTGTAGATTTCTCGGTAATCAAGTTCTTTTTTTTATTTATTTTTTTGGGTAGAATTCTCCATCTTTTTTGTTTCTGCTGCTGCTCATTTCATGACTACTGGGAGTTGCATGTGAGAAACTCTGTTGTTACACTCACAATTTTTGTATCCCGAGATATAGTTTGTTCTGTTCTTCTTACGAAAGCTGAGTTGTAGTTTCTTGAAAATGAGAAAGGTATCATTTATCTGTGGATCCGATCTTGGTTCACCCTCTGGATTTTCTTATTATTATTTAAAAAAAGATGTGTAACCAACATATATGTCTATCGGCTTAAAAGCTGGAAGAGAAATAATATACTTTAAAATCACTCCAATTCCTGGTAGGAAGCAGAACTAGATGAGAAGTCCTGAAGCACTCTGAACTATTGTGGTTGCAGGATGTGCGTGTGTTCATATAAAGGGCAAATTACACAAATGGTTTGTTGCTGTTGTCTCCATAAATATGTTTCAACTCATGCTCATATTATTTATGCAGGCAAAACTTGAGAACCCAAAGAAAAGTCGAAATGTGGATGATTCAATGGATGATAACATGGTAAAGAGCAGCAAAATTGATCCGGAAGTAGATGAGACTTACGAAGAAGCATTTGGCGAGGATGTGCAATATGATGAGGATTTTGGAGGATATGACTATGATCAACACTACGATGATGATGAATATTGAATTAATCTGCATTCCATATGGCTGGTTTCCCTATAGAAATGGAGGATATAAGCTATCAGATACCACATTTTCCTTCACTTGTATATTAGGAATTGTTAGTCCTGATAGCTAATTGCATTTCAAGCTATTTTGTTTTAGTTATCATGATTATTTTATTTCCTGGGAACAACTTCCCATCACTGGAATGTTAAAAGAGTGTGTCAGTTTTACTAGTAGATCTATGCTCGACTAGCGGAAATAGATCATTAAAGTTTTATATAATTTAAACAAGAAAGTTAGGACCCTCTTCGTTATTCCTGTGTCCACCATTGAAGATCGGAATGCCCGGTTATATTGTGAGTTTTTTAACACAAATCGTCCCTCAATTATGACGATAAGTCTAATATGGTCCTTCAAATATACACGAGCAAATTTAGTCTTTTCAGTTATATAAAAAATAGAACATTTTTGGTATTTGTTAACAGAAATCCTGTTAGTTAAGCTAATGGATTCTTCACGTCAAATACAGAACACTGCTAATACAGCAGTCTATGCCTCTCAATTCCCATCTGTTGTTTTTGCATATGTTGCAAGTACTTGCTGTAGACCAGTCAGAGGATTATAGGACCCATCAGAACAGGATTAATATCTGCAAACTGCTTTGTAAAAATATATATAAACCACAAACAAGATAATAAATTACTACCCTCTTGTTCAACTGAGAGCATTTCCTGTAAAGGTACTCTCTTTGCAACCTAATGTTCTTTCTATACCTGGATTTTATACTTATGATTGTGTTAGTTATGTAGGCGATTTCGGGAACCCAAAGAAAAGTTCAAATGTTGTATAATGATGAGAAAGTAGGAGAATATGACTATGATCAACACTGATTATTGAAATACAATGCATTCCTTGTGACCGATTCCCCCTTGCAAACATAGGGGCACGAAAAGTCGGATAACACAATATGCTTGGTGTCCGAAAGGAAGATTTGCGAATTGATTCATAATTGAGAAATTTCCATGAAGCACTACCTTTTAGTAGTAATTAGCCATCTATAGATACCATGTGCTATATTACGAATTATAAATATATTTTCTATGGTTATAAGATGTATTTGATGTATTTAAGCTATTGTATTCATAAATACAGTAGCAAAAATAGGCGTGAATCAGAGAAGTCCAGCTAATCAGTTGTTGTATTCGAGTATATTCGACTGTATTCATGGAGTGAAATGTGAGATTACAGTTGGACAGATTATTGTATTCGACTATATTCACAGCGTGAAATAGGGGATTACACTGTTTTTAAAACGGAAAGTGAATCAATTAACATAATAGACTCCTAATATAACTCAACAAACTCAATTATAACACACAAATTTTGTATTTTCAGTTATAAAAAAGATTCTCAACTGGAAAATACACCAAAAACATAGCAATCTTCAGAGAAATTATATAATACATCCTAATACATAAATTATATTAATTAAAAAAACATATGAATACATTCATGGCATATAGCGAGACAGTGAATACAATGAAATACATAGAATACAATGGGATACATTGAAATACAATGAAAAAAGACTGTAAATTCAATGAAATACAACGAAATACATTGAATTACAATGAAAAAAAAGACGATGAATACAATGAAAGACATGAAAATACAGCATGATACGTTGAAAATACATTGAGATATATTAATAGAAAAACAAGTTGCTCAGCCCCAAAATCCGTCGTCTTTGTTCAAGAACAAACCCTAATTTCCGACGAATCCGCCGTCGAGCAAAAACCCTGAATCTCACTGTTCCCACGCATCCTGTACATTGCTTTTGACACATCAGTACCATCGTAGCTTTTGTACCACTCCTCGCAACTCCCAGGTACGAAGCCATGATCAAACTCACCAATCCAAGTTCAGATTTTCATCTGTATTTATCCAAGAATACCCAGGTACGAAGCCATGATCAAAATCTTGGATCAAACTCTCTTTATCTGTATTTATCCAAGAATAATCAATCCAAGTTCAGATTTTCTCACTTTCCAGTAGCTACCTGCATACCCATTTTAGAGAACCAAAAAAGAAAATCCAAGATTTTCACATTAGGGCAACGAACCAGAAATTGGCTTTTTCAGCCACGTCGAGTTGAACCAGAAAAGAAATCTATGCTATAACCACTAGGGCAACGAACAGAGGCAACAATCGTGGTTTTGTGGGAGAAGAGAGTAAAGTGTATGCAAAAAGAGAGAGAACGTGGTTTGTGAAATTTACCGTAGTTATGTGAGAGAAAATTTGAAAAAGGAGAGAGAAAAATATTAATTAGCATATATGGTGCCTCAAGTGTAGGATATAACTATAATTAGATATTTTGCTATAAAGGGTAAAAGGTAGCTATATAATATAATTTTTTAAAATGGTATTTATTTAAAATAAATAGGGTATTAAGCTTTTTTATAGGGTGTAAATTTCCTTCATAATTCACTTACACTATTCACTTCCAACAAAATACATAGACAACCCATTAAACTTGGTCCAATTTTTTATTTTGGCACTTTTAACTCAGTCTTGTTCCATTTTGGCCCTCCAATCCCATTTCTTTTGTTCCACTTTGACACAAAAGCTGACTAGATTCCATGTGTGATTTACCTCACCCTTGTAGACGCCTGAGAGCCATTTTTTAAGCCAAATTTCATACTCCCAACGTAGAGGCAGATCCACCCAACGTAGAGGCAGATCCAGAATTTAAATCCTATGGATTCAATTTAATGTTTTTAACATTGAACCCATTATATTTCTAAAGTTATGGGTTTATATCTATATTTTTTTTTTACAATTTTAATGAATTTTTACATACAAATTTTTACTCCGCAAAGAAAGTTATGAGTNGGTTTGTGCAACAACTAGGTATTTGCACGCGCTGCATTTTTACCGGGGAGAAAATTTTTTGTGTCAAAGTGGAACCAAAAAAATAGGGTTGGAAGGCCAAAATGGAACTAGACTGAGTTAAAAGTACCAAAATGAAAAATTGGGCCAAATTTAATGGTATGTGCATGTATTTGGCCTTTATACAAGTTGAACTCAAAAAGTTTCAACTGAGGGACGTGTGGCATTCTTACTAGTTTCTGTAAGTTAAATAAAAAATGGTGCTTACAATTAAGCAGATTAAGCTTTTATGCTACGAAAAGATGAATAACAGCAACGAGAAGCTCTATGGAAGACCATTAATCCGGTAGTCGCCATGCCCGACTTCAGTTAAGATCAAGAAATCTTTCTCATCGAACTGAAAAAAAAGGTGGCAATGATCTAAATAGCAGACATCCACAAATGATATTAATATACAGTACAGTCAACACTGCCTCAATTTAGCCTCTCATCCATCGTCTTGGCATATATTGCAACTTTTCCGAAAAAATATGTGATGAATCCATCGCCGAACTTATGTGATTCTACTGCAGACACCACGTACACAATATACCACGCATTGGACTACGTGAAGGGAAATGTCTCCTCTACCCAATCCTGTAACAGCAATACGAGAATCTCACTGTACATTCTCAACGAAATACATGTCAGACAACAAACCAAATTCAGAGAGACCGGCAAAATGAAACTTAGCATAACACTGACACAGCCACTTCAAGATGGCATTCCCTAGTATAAAAAACTAGAGCTGTTTCTCGAGGATAAAACCTAGCTTTCCTTGCACGTTAATTTGGAAGAAACTATCCATCAGAACTCGATTGATACCCCGCATACTGCATAAAATATATATATAACCATATGAACAAGATAAAATACTATCAAATTCCTACCTCTTCTTTAACTGAGGCAACCTAGAAATCTTAACATGTCAGCACTTGAACTTGATGAAGTTTCAGCATGCTATTTCTTCCTTTGAGCAGCCTGTGATTAGTAAAACCGTATTTGTAAGAAAATTCCTAAAGCTTACTTGTATGATGGGTGAAGAAGCACTGATATTTTATTTTTTTTTTGGAGATATAGAGGTAACAAGAGACGAGTAATAGTAAAAGAAGAGGAAAATGGAGCATTTTGTAATAGTAGCAGTAACAATTCAAGAAAGGACATATAGAAATAAGAAACTCTGATTAGGTTGTGTTTCAATCCATTCGCACACCTGTAAACCCTCCAAACGTACTAGCAATGAGCATTCGAGCACATAATACATTCTTTATTACGAATATACTATTGTTTTCATTATCAAAACTTGGTGGATAATAGGTCTTGGCCCTCTGCTCTCCGATTCAATTCCAGAATTGGTTCACCGACTAGGATTCGAACACAAGACTTGACCCTACCACACATTCTACGTTGTACTATCATTGCCGTTGAACCAATGCCCTACGGACATCAAGCACATAATGCACAACATAATCAGGAAATTGTCACCTCACATAGTTGTTTTAATGTTACTAACTCCACGTGATAAATCCACAGTGGAAGGACCAACACAAGAAGCTTTCCACGTCATCTCACATAGTTGTTTAATGAACACATGAATTGGATGGTCCACAAGAAGATAACCAATCCTAGTTTCCTGGAGTGGAAGAAATGGATGGTCCCAGTTCTGTCTCCAACTTTGACGTCACAAACACACTAGTACCCAACAACAACAACAACCCAGTGTGGTCCCACAAGTGGGGTCTGGGGAGGGTAGGATGTACGCAGCCTTACCCCTACCCTGGAAGGGCAGAGAGGCAAAACACACTAGTACCCAACAACAACAACAACCCAGTGTGGTCCCACAAGTGGGGTCTGGGGAGGGTAGGATGTACGCAGCCTTACCCCTACCCTGGAAGGGCAGAGAGGCAAAACACACTAGTACCCAACAACAACAACAACCCAGTGTGGTCCCACAAGTGGGGTCTGGGGAGGGTAGGATGTACGCAGCCTTACCCCTACCCTGGAAGGGCAGAGAGGCAAAACACACTAGTACCCAACAACAACAACAACCCAGTGTGGTCCCACAAGTGGGGTCTGGGGAGGGTAGGATGTACGCAGCCTTACCCCTACCCTGGAAGGGCAGAGAGGCAAAACACACTAGTACCCAAGCATATAGATATTGATCATAATGAGGAGACACTGTTATTACCCACTACACAGAAGCGGCACTGTTAGCAGTCATCTAAATATCACCTAGACAACCATTTTTGCTCCAATGAGACATCAAAACTCCCATCCGACTTGGTCCTATTCTCGAGCATAGCTTAAATCTTTCTGTAGATAGTAAGTTCCTCTTTGTTTTGGATACTTTAGCTAATAAACAATAGTTCTCATATGGTGGTGCTAAACCTTATTTTGACCTATAATCATTTTACTTCAGCTTCTAACCGCAACTTTAGGATAAAGTAGAAAAGGAAATTCGGAGTAATATTTCGGTGATATTACCTCTTTCTTTTCAACAGTCAAACAAAAAAATGCTAGAAAAATTTCTATTTCAAATCATGTCAAATCTAATTCAAACTCCTGGGTGCCAAAGTGTCTCATCTTCTCTTCGTCATTACTCATTCCCGAACACTTCAGCCTTCCCTTATTTGAAATCTCTCCCTATCGTGTGGTTGACTGAAGAAAGTCAGAAGAATAGTAAATGGACAGGTTATACCTAGTTGGATTAGCAAGCCGCTAGTTGACAAATTAGAAAGATAAAGATGTCATCATCAAACTTTGCAGCAGTCTAGTCTCTGTAGCAACTCATAGCAGAATCAGATTTTCCTAAAGTCTATGCAGCTACTGAAGAGTTAAAACGAACATACTAAAAGCGGAGTGAAGGTAATTAGACAATTCACCAAAGTCTAGTAAACTAAGGTGATAGTGAGACGGTTAATTCACTCTGAGATTGGGAGTTCCGTCTGCTCTTATGTTGGAATAACCATTATAATACGATGAAAGCACCTCATTAACAAGAAAGTCCTTGCTCTCCTCTTAGCAATGACCTGTCTAGGGCTACTTTTAGAACTGCAGATTCTGTAATAAGACTATTCATGGGCATTCTCCGACTTAGAATCGAATTCATACCCCGGCAACTTACGATCTACCCGGCGCCTTATGTTGAATAGACATAATAATACTTCCTCTATCACTTAGCAAAGTCAAACCCTATCAGATTTCCTCAGCAGAAAAAATTCATACATACTACGTATTTTCTAATAGAATTTAAGATACCTGAGTCAGAGAACTTCCCAAAGATTTTATGCCACAGATCAAAGAACTACTTTAGCTGGAAGCTCACTTGGAATTACTTCAAAAACTTTGTAACAGTTTACCACTATTGATTTCTCAGTCCAAGTTGCATATGTAGAAGGATTTTCGACTTAAGGTAAAATTAATGAAAAAAGTTCAGATAGAATATTCATATAATACAGAGTCTAATACTGAGTTTGAAGCAGTTCATACCTTTCTCATTTTTTCTAATACTGAGTCTTCAAATTTCTGGTATCCAGCACCTACAAGATTACTCAAACTTGGGCCCTCAGGTTCTCTATCTTTCTCAGCGTTAAAAAATGGAGATGGCATTGTGGGTTGAACTGTTGGCTGAAGAGGCACAATTAAGAGAGGATTTGATAGATCCCCCAAGACATTTCCACAAACAGCTTTCTGAAAAAGAGAAAAAACCCGTTAGTGAGGTGCTACTAACTAAAGAGATGAACGATTAAAATCAATACTCAATTTCATGAAGTACTCACAGCTGCGTCCTTGGAAGACATGACAACAAGAGCGGAGCCTTTCTTCTTAGAACTCTTGATTACTACATCTTCAACCTCACCAAACTCACTAAATAACTCTCTCAATCTTTGGGCAGTATAATCTTCACCAATCTTCTCCCAAGATACCTTAAGCACCTTTTCCTTGTCCACACTACTCCCCTTGCCTTCTGTACTCGCCTTTGCCCTTGCATGTGTCTCTTTCTGTGAAGGATCTGTAGCAGTAGGCACCTTCTTTGAATGCATTGCACGAATTCGAGCAATTTCCTCTTTAAGCTTTCTAGCAATTTGCTCCTCCTCTTGTCGAGCTAGAGCGCTGGCATCAGGTGCAAAAGCAGCACGTTCTCTTGCATCAAGATCTGACATCATCTTTCTACGCTTTGAATCTTGTTGTGATTGGCGTTGGATCTTCTCACGTTTCACACGAAGTAGATCATCAAATAACTTCCTAGCTTTCTCATCCTTGAGAACCTCGTATGAAGTCTTCAGCTTTTGAAAGTTCAAGTGAGCATTTGGGTCATCAGGCCTCTTGTCTGGATGCAACTCTAATGCCTTCTTCTTATAGGCTTTAGATATGTCTTTCTCAGAAAGTTTGGCTCCTTCCTCTCCCGAGGGTAAATCCAAAACAGCATAATGATCAACTTCGATATCCATTTCCTACCCAAATCTTTAACTCTGCAACAAATGCAAACCAACTGCATCAGAAAAATTATGATATTCAAACTACAAAATTAAATTAAAAACAACCCTGAACTTCTCAAGATAGCTTTTAGCTAACCAAGGAGAGACTCTTCCAATGACACACACATCAATAGATCAATAAAGGTTCCAGCCACCAATTAAACAAGTTCAATTAGTGCAGATCCTGCCACGGATTCTAATCCCAAGTTTAATGGTGTTATGATAAGGCAAAACAAACATTTGGCTCAGAAAGGTTAAAAAACAGCCGCACGGAATTCAATAACATAACTGAAAAAACATTAGAGAGCAGTATTATAAACTCAAAAGCAGCTTTAGCCCAGAACTTCAATAAGCTATTTTATCCTATAAAAGATCTTGTTACATGAGAAGATTTTGAACAGGAAGATTGATGCAAAATTAGCCTCAATATCAAGAATTGCCTATGTCATAGGTTGTAAGGCAACACTAAGCCGTTAATTTTAGTTCTGCAAGATAATACTAATGGAAAAGGTCCAAATTTCAACAAAAGAAAAAGGGCAAATATAGATTAGCGCACAGAATGCTCAAGATAGTTTTCAACGAACAAAAGAAAAGGAAAAAAGAAGCACGAGAATGGAGCAACCAGCAATTTTAAAAACTCACACCAGAAGGTTACATAAGGAATTAAGCAAATTGGAAAAGAACAATAAGATGTTGAGAAAGCAATTGGATAGTACAATTAGATGATTTTCGCGTTTAAAGATGGGGATTTAGCTATAAGAAAAACTTACCAGTAGCCGTTGAAATTGGGAGAAATTTGGCTATAAGGTGATACCTGAAAGTGGTAGGGTTTGGGTACGGGTATACTGTAGATATTTTAGAGACTGAAGCAGAGAATACGGGTTGAGCTTGGGGTCGTTAGGGTTATTTTGGGAGTACTGAAATCGTTTTAGGGTTGGGCTGTCTCAGAATGAACCTAACACGAGAACTGGACAACTCAAGTTAATGTACTGCTGGCATTGTCTTCTGGATTAATGACAAACACTATAGGCACAGTCATATCTAAAAGAGGTCGACTATAAATTCCATTAAATAGTTCAACAAATTAACGGTCTGGTTCGACTTGAAAAATGACAAGATTTATACAAGTGTGTGGTGAGTGTGCTGCGTCCGTATTTAATTTGTATATGTTAGGTTCCGGAGGTATCCATTTTAATGGTACTCTAATATTTTTTTTGTATTTTATGTGATGAGGCGGCTAGATAACAGAATTCAGTTGCTTGTTGCGTGGTGAAATTTTTATTAATGAGATCATGCTTGCCCTCGTACATTTTTTTGTTTCTAGTTATCCAAATATTCCAAAGACTTAATGGAAGGTAAGTGCGCCTATTTAAATTATAGGAAAATTTCTTTTGACTATAATTTAGTAGCGGAATTAACCACTCCTGGGGTGTGCTATAAGTTATCAGACTATTTATATAACTCCTCATGCCTAGCGTATTCCAGAAATTTTTTGTATTCGTACATGTAAGGAACAAATGATTTAAGGATTCTTCTTCTTTGTGACAGTAAGAGCAATCTGCATTATCAGTGATGTTACGATGATGTAGGTATTGCAAGGTTTGTACCGTGTTGTGGTTAAGTAACCAAATAAAATATTTGATTTTTGGATGTATTGGCAGGTCCCAAATTCATTTGAATTGGACATTAGTATTATGGTCATTATTAAGATCATTGTGAAGGGCTTTATAGATTGAATTTATCGTAAATTTCCCATCCCTAGTTAATGCCCAGAAGATATGGTCAGCTTCGCACTTGTACTTAGATATATAAGTGGTCTCAATTATATTTTTTAATTTCTCCGGGAATTGGAAAGGGAGGTTATTCCAGTTCCAACTATTGCCCTTGTATATTGAACTTATATTATTATTAAGATGAGCACTTGGTAAAGGGCCACTTATTAACGAACGAACAGTAAGGTCAGGCTTTAACCACGTATCATCCCAGAACTTTATATGCTTTTCTGTACCAATTTGCCACTGCAATCCTATTTGGCAAGATTTCCAACCTTTTACTATGTTACGCAAAATAGTGGAGTGATTGGTGGCGAAACTTAAAGGAACATATTTATTAATTAAAACTTTGGCCCAAAGACTTTGATTCGAATGAAATGCCCTCCATGCTAAACTACCTAGCAAAGCAGTATTCTTTTGCTGAAGACTTTGAATACCTAAACCTCCCTTTTCAATTGGCTGGGTTATCGTTTCCCATTTAACGAGGTGAATCTTTTTTCTTGTTGTTGTAGATCCCCATAAAAAATTTCGTTGATATTGTTCCATCTTTTTTATAATTGACACTGGAATGTGAATATATTGCATAATATGATTTGGCAAGTTATTAAGAGTAGATTTGATAAGAGTAGATCGTCCTGCCATTGTAAGAAACTTAGTTTTCCATCCTGCTAATTTAACTTTAAAGTTATCTAACAGAAATTGAAGGTCCGCCTTTTTTTGACGTGTGTGAAACATTGGAAAACCTAAATAGCGTCCAAAATTTGTTCCTTCCTTAATATGGAAACAGTCTATAGCTAATATCTTGTCACTATTCGTGCTATTTTTTGAAAAGAATAATTTTGATTTCTCAAAATTTATTCTTTGGCCTGAATGTTTACTAAAATGATTAATCACATCTATGATTGCATTACAACTTTTAGTAGTAATTCTTGAAAAAAGAATTATATCATTAGCGAAGAATAGATGTGAATGGACCCTTTCTTGCTACTAAGTGGTTGCCATTGAAGATAGTCTACAGACAAAGTAATACTACGCGAGAACATCTCCATACACATTATAAATAAGTATGGTGATAAAGGATCACCCTGTTTAATGCCCCTCGATGGGCAAAAAAATTCTGTATGTGATCCATTGATAAGAATTGAAGTGAAAGTTGTAGTGACACAGTACATGATAAGCTTAGTAGTATTTGGTAGGATATTGAAATATTGAAGAGTTTTCCTAATAAACGACCATTCCAACCTATCAAACGCTTTTTCCAGGTCTAATTTGAGTAACATGTAACTATTATTTCCTTTTATTTTTGCTAACTGATTAATTGCTTCTTGTACTATTATTGCATTGTCAGCAGCACGTTTTCCTTGTTAAAAACTAGTTTGTGTTGGCCCTATTATCAAAGAAATAATAGGCTTAAGACGACTGACAAGTATTTTTGTAATTAGTTTATAAGTAGTATTACACAGACTGATAGGCCTAAACTGGTGAATTGATTGAGCCTGCCTTACCTTTGGAACAAGGCATATGTAAGTCTAATTGAGTGAATGAGTTATTACATTTGATTCAAAAATATCATGGCAAAATTGCCTAACCTTACTACTGACATCAGGCCAAAACTTTTGATAAAAGAAAGGATGAAGTCCATCCGACCCCGATGCTTTGTAAGGACCAAAGCTAAACATAGCACGATCAATTTCAATATCCTCAAGAGGTGTTTGTAGAATTTGAGTATTCATCTTACTAACTGAACTGAAATTTGAATTAAAAGTAATATTAGTAGACTGATTGTGGTCAGTTGTAAATTTTTTTTTATAATAAGAGAGTATGTGATCCTGAATAGCTTGGTGGTCATAAAACCAATTTCCAACTGAATCTTTAAGAGAGGTTATTATATTTCTCCTACTTCTTTACAACGTAGACATATGGAAGAATTTTGTATTAACGTTTCCTTCATTAAGCCAAGTCACTCTTGACTTAAGCTTCCAAAAGTCCTCCTCTAACCTAAGTATATTACTAAATTCATTATTCAATTGTACTTCTAAATTTTGAAGGAAATAGCTAGTGGGGTAGTGTACAGAAGACTGGATTCCAGCAAGTCGAGCTAGTATTTTCCTCTTCCGACTATAAATGTTTCCAAAAGTAGTATGGTTCCAATCTATGAGGACCTTCTGAAAATTTGTAATAGTTTCTAAGATTGGTGACTTATCATGCCAAGCAGTTTGAACTAATTGATGGAATTGTCGGTGTGATACCCAAATAGTTTCAAATCTGAAAATATTTCTAGGTGGTTGTTTCCTATTGTCTAAGCTAAGTAATAACGGACAGTGATCAGAATAAGTACGGGGTAAATATTGCACTGTAGCCTCAGGGTATAGATTGAGCCATTCATAATTAGCCAAAAATCTATCTAGTCTTTCTAGTATTGTATGCCTCTTTTTTCTTTTATTAGTCCAAGTAAATCTACTACTTTTAAACCCTAAATCTATTAAATTACAGTAGTTAATACAATTAAAAAATTTGTCAGCCATACTAATATTAACAGGAAGCCCCCCAAATTTTTCATTAGCATATAAAATATCATTAAAGCCTCCTCCAATTAGCCAAGGGTACTTAAGATTATCATGCAAATCCATAAGACTCTCCCAAAGTTCATTTCGTGTATGGCATAAATTCTTAGCATATATAGCAGATAATATCCATTTAAGGTTAGTGGGACCTACCTGGACGAGGCAATGAATTTCTTGCTCAGTTACCCTCAGCTCCTCAACACCAATTGCAGCCTCATTCCATACTACAACTAACCCTCCTTCAAGCCCATTTGCAGACACTTATGCCATATTAGTGAATCCAAAATCATGTCTAAGTCCTTCATGGTCCTGCATGTGCGTTTCAAGCAGTATTGCTAGGACTGGCCTATAGTTGTCTAGTAGGGATCTAAACTGCCTCCTAAACTCCGGGTTATGGGATCCTCTATAGTTTCAAACTATTATATTCATACTATAGGGCATTGTTTGTGTGACTGTTGGAGTAGGCATCAACGGGTTGAGAAACGTTGATGACATCCGGTCCTGCGAATCCATCAGTGGTGGGAGCTGATGAAGAGTTGGAATTATCACCATCGAGTATTTCCCTGCCTCTTAATTCGTTGTGACACGGAAGTTCATATTGCATGAGATCATCTCTGGTGGACACTTTAGGATGAATTTTTTTGCAAATTGCTCCTTTAGATTGTAAAGATGTATCCCTTTTAACCATAAGAACTCTGTCCTTGTCTCCCTAATTTCCGCTATTATTTCTGCTAACTCCTCCCTTGTTTGCACATCTAGTTTGTTGGGAGATGGTGGTGGACTACGTGGACTGTCTGGGGGAGACTGTGTCTCGAGAGGACTCATTGGACTGGTATATGGGGAGAGAGGATTGAAAGAGTGGAGATGCTGGAATCATGGTGCATAAATCTGCCCCATGTGATGTGGTGGGTAAAAGGGCAGTAGGTTTGTCGTGGCTGGAACTGGTATTTGTAAGTACATGGGGTAACTCCACTGCTGGGGATTCGAACTTGAAGCCTGATGATCCAGTAAGAGGGGTATTTGTGTGTTGTACCATTGTTGTTGAGCATACCCCTCCATCCCTAGTCTCATTCCCTCCGTAACTATCTCTTCCAGATGCGATGGCTTCTGCACAAGAAGGACAATCTCCTGATTGTTCAATTCCATTGTAAACACAAGAGCATACCCCTGTAATCCCATCTCTACCCAATACTCTAGAGGAAGATCCATTGTGTTTGCCTAAGACGTGTATATCAGTGGGGTGTTGATATGTGGAAGCTGAGGTCCTTCATACGTAGTCGAGGAAGAAAAAAGAGTTGATTGTTGTTCCAGTTTCTCAGTACAACAGGGTTTGTATTTTGTGAGAGTGTTGGTCTATGCATCTTTGTTTAGTTGTGCAGTAGAAGGTACAAATTTAATAAGGTCAAAAGAAGATGGTTGTTGTTCTACGATGGATAGTAATAAAGAGTCTTTATTTAACTGAGTAGGATCTGATTTGTTTGTAGTGAAAGGCCCTTAAGGTTATCACATGAAAAGTCATTATTTGGTTTTTGTTAGAGTTGGGGTTGGCTAGGATTATAGGCTACTGTAGCATGTAATACACTATTGCTGCCACTGACGTGGGTTGCTACTGAGTCCTGTTGGCCATGCACTGGAGTCGAGTTGTCTTCTAATGGCTGGTTATAGGTATTATGAATTGGTTTGGTTA